CCAAAAATGGAAATCATATGGAATGGAACAAAGCCTGCCCATGTGAGATTCTTGGTGTAAAACGAAAAAAAGGAAGATATATGTATATATGGATGAACCTAAACCACTTAAGAAAACCTAATTCAAGTTGTAACTATTATATTGTTTACTGGCCTAATTAGCCTATAATTCAATCAAAATATTTGATTGAATAACTTAATAAACTCCCTTTGGGTGATATTACAAATTATATCACACACACAAAAATATATATATATAAAATATACTATTCGAGCATCAATGGGGATGTAGCTCAGATGGTAGAGCGCTCGCTTAGCATGCGAGAGGTACGGGGATCGATACCCCGCATCTCCAGTATTGTTATTATTATTTTTTTCTCATATTTTTTATTATGCGTTGATTCATAAACACTAGACTACCACTAACTTCCTTCATATACACAACTAAGTAGCCATTGATTAATCTTTGTAATCAGATTAAAGAAAAGATTCTTCTTCACAGTTTTTTTACTCGCAACCAATCTAATCACTCACAACTCTATCAAAGGGAAATCAAAACAAAAATCGTGATCCCGGAGCCATAAATTTCTGATTACAAACTGAGAAATCGAATAAAACGCAGAAATTTACAGCCATTGCTACTTTGTTCAACGAGAAGAAAGAAAGAAAGAGAACCTAAAGACCATAGAAGAAAAGAGGCAGAGATGGAGAGTTAGGTACTAAACATTCATGTTTTCTTGAAAAATTTACTGCCTTTCTTCCCAATCCCGGTCTCCGTAAGGCTTGAAGAGAGATGTGATCTTGTGTCTGGTCTCCACTGAAATTCTACTAAGGCTGAGAACAAAGCTGACAGTGATTGAGAGATCTCTGAATCTTTTATGTTCTTGCACGAAACCACTTTCAGATGTTCTAGCTCGTGCCAATGTTGAATCACGGATTCTAGACCCGGTGTTGTTAGCAATGAGCATCCTTCTATATACAGAAGTTTCACTCTCCTGCAAACCCATCAAACAAAATTCGCATAAAGATTCAAGTTATCGGCAGCAATGAAATTTGCCTAAAGGCTGCAACTTTAAAGACCACATTGTTCGTAAAGATTCGATATTCTGCCACAAAAGTCTAATGCGATCTACCGACCAGTTCATATTTTCGCCATTATCAAAACCTCTAAAGCAAAAAGGAGGAAAATGTGGCTTTTTTAAGTACCCGAAAGCCGTCGCCAAGCTGAAGATCTCATTATCCAGTCCCCAACAATCCTGGAAAACAATCTCTCTCGCCGCTTCACACATCTTGAACAAAGCCTTTACGGTATTCTTATCTCTTAATTGACACTTCTCCAAGTGCAACCGCTCGAGCGCAGGACAACAACCGCTCAAGCACTCACCTAGACCAGCAGGATCATGATCGATTTTTTTACAAGACACGAGTTTCAGCGTCTTTAGATTCTCACAGTACCGAAGACCTTCAAGCCAACCCGACTCCATCTTATGATCACAAACAGTGAGTTCCTCGAGCATTTGACAACATTTGCCTATTTCTTTAATCCCATCAAATCCTCCCTCGCATCCAACGAGCTCAAGCTTCACCAGTCTCTTACACCCTTGAGCCAAAATCATCAGACCGATATCCGAAACCAACGAGCTATACAAACCATCGACATTCCCAACTAATCTCAAGATCTGCAGATTCTCAAACGCACCAATCCCTAGCAAAACATTGTCAGAACACTTTTGCAATTCGAGTTCTTGCAACCTCGAACACGCTTCAGCTACATTCAACAACCCTACTTCACTAGTATTACTCACTACGAGTCTCCGTAGATTCGAGCAACCACCTGCGAGTGTTCTTAACCCTCTATCAACCATTTCAACTGACAAGAGATTTTCCTCAAAGAAGCTCCAACTCTGATAAGACCCTACACCAACAGTAAACGAAACTAACCTATGTTTAACTAAAACACCTGAATTTGGCGGCGAAATCAGACACCCACTAACCAAATCAACAGTATCCAGATTAGGAAACCTCGAAATCATCTTACCAGAAGCGAGAAATTCCCAATCAGATACCTTAATCGAACGAACAAGACGACCATGGAGTTTAAACCATCTCTTGCAAACCAAAGAGAGATTCTTCCGGTGAGATTTAGGGACTTTCTCAATGATTGTGAGGAGAGTGAGGTCGGGTAAGAGAAGGGTCAGATCGGTTTTCGTGAAATCGGGAAGTAGGGTTTTGGATTTGGAGATTGGAGGAGTTAAAGACTGAAACTTTGAGGATAAATCTAGCGGTGGAGAAGACAACAGATGGTGATGGTTAAGCCAAAGTTCCGACCAGCTTGCTCTTCGCTTCTTTAATGGCGAAACTGGACTACTCTCCTTCTTCCCCATAAACGACATACTTCTAGTTCTTCCCTTCACATTCAAGTGGTCCCTGAAAGGCAACGTTCTTGATGGGTTTTTTCTCGGGATTTCTCAGAGGAATTTGTTTTCCCGAGAAAAAAAAAAAAAGATAACGGATTTCTGCAAATTAAAATGGAAAGTTTGAAGGTCTCTAAAGGAAAACTTACAATCACAGAGAGAAATTTTGTTTTTGTTGAAATTTTGTGTTTTTATTCTTCTTATTTTAATTTTGTCTCTCTCTCTCTTTCTATACGAAAGATCCGGTCTTTTATTTGTTAGCTTTTTGTTTAAAAAACTGTTTAGATTTCTCTGAATAATTGACATAAACGGTCTCAAATGCACAGTGAAGAAAGAAACAAAATAAAACCTGTCACTCTCACTCTTTTTGATCCAAAATCTGAAGCCACTAGATTTTAATCATTAATATCTGTTATTGACAAAAAAGAAACTTCCAAGAAATAAGATAAAAACAAAAACTCATTCCCATTACAATTTAATTGAAATGTACAAAAAAAAGAGAGGTTTGTACAAGTTTTATAAATACATACACAACTCACCGCTAAAGCCCATTGTGTAATAGAATTTACAAAAAGAGAGGTTTTTCAGGTCAAGAACGAGGAGGAGCCATTTGTTGCTTCTTTATCTTCTCATGTGACTTCACCATGCTGTAATTGGAAAGAGAGAATTATTAAATTTAGTGTTCCATGTTGCTATTGAAGTTGATCTCTATATTCGCTTTAATGAAACTGTGTTGTTCTTCAGTGTAAGTGGGAGTTACCTGATATCATGAGGAGTGATGAATATCCACTGTGAAGCTTGTTTTATTGCGAAATCAACCAATGTGTCTAAGCTGATTTTCCTGCTCGCTGCATCCTGAGGTTTCAAAAACCGAAACATTCAACACTTTCTCTTCTTAAGGCGTTTGATATTCGTTTTAGCAGATTCAAAGCATGACAATTGATGTAAATGTGAGGGAGTAATGTATGATATTATGCAAGCCGATACACGTTGTCATTTAATGTAAGAGAGAATTCTTACCATAAACACATCAAACTCGTCCATTGCTCGAATTGGGGACTCAATCATATTGTGAAGAGTTAATGCGAAGCATAAAGTAGAGAAAGATCTTTCTCCACCTGAATTTTATGACAAGAGGAGGATCGATTAAACTTTGAAGCTGGATAAAGACTTTACTAGCTTATACTCTCAATAGAGTTATTAGTTTCCACAGATGTAGCAATAAGAAAGTCAAATATAGGATAGAACACAGAGTGCAATAGCAAACAAAGGTCAACAAACTTTTAGATTCTTCAATTTAAGTTTCATCTTCAAGGGCTTTAAATACTTGACCTCATCTATTGAACCTTGTTGAACACTACCTTGTTCTAAGTTCCGAATGTGGGATTTTTTATGTCCTAATTCATATTCAAGTTGAAAGTATAGAAGCAGCACCTGAAAGCCCTCTAGTATCTCGAACAGCACTGCTTGTTGCATCTTGAGGCATTTTAACCTGTTCAAGAAAAAAAAAAATGCCATTAACCAATTATTGTAACAATATGGACATATCAGTGCAAACTGTAGCATTGTTGGCGCCCATTACCTCTATGGACAAAGTTTTGTCTTCATAAGAGACTACGATTCGTCCGCTGATACCTTTCTTACTTAAATGAGAGTTGAATCTGTTTGAAGATCACCAATCAAGGAAAATATCACAACTGAAGAGAGAAGTGTAAACTATCCAATGTGACTGGCAATAGTGGGTAAAAGAAGTCGTACCGCCAAGTTAGTTCACTTTTCAAACGACTTTTATTTTTTTGGAGCTTGTTCCGCCGTGAATCTACCGCATCTTTGCAGACCTGATTAAACAGTAATGCACACAATAAAATGATTAGTATATATTTTGAAATTTTGGATAAGGAAATAACTATCTGTTAACAATTGCAAGGCTTATTAACCTTGAGTTTTTCTCGAAAGCTTTTGTAAGTTTTGCGTTTCTTCCCAATCTTCTCTTCTTTTTCCTCGTGCATAATCCTGAGGTCATCAATTGATTCAGAATACCTGCATCAACAAAAGATAAAAACATGTAACCTTAACATGCACTCATCGGGTAGTTTCAGTGTATAGATACAATCACAATGCTCAACAGAATACGCACTTCTCACTCTCTCGCTTCAGTCTGTGATTTACTTTGTTAATCTGAGCGCTAAGCTGGAAAGGAGTGGCCCCATCCCAGGGACCCAAAGCAATTATCTCACTCTCAGGACAAATAATGGAGGCCTTTTCATTACTTTCCTGAAATTTCAGCAGTCGAAGAAATTTTTTAAAATATAGATCCAAGAGCAACAACTTAAATGTAACTTGAATATATA